TCTCCACCAAGTCCTTGGCGCTGCAACGGGGGGTGGACGGGACCTCGTAGGTTTTGTGGAAGTGGGAATAGTCTACTTTGTACTGGTTTTTCTCCTCGAACAAGACCGGCTCGAAGCGGTGGCCCCAGAGGATCTCACTGGCCAGGTAGGAGCTCCGAGCTTGCGTCGTCATAGCGGTGGCTTCTACCATGCCTTCCAGGATGACCACGATCTCAAAGTCATCTGTCTCCAAGTCCTGGCGGCTGATCCCGAACAAGGGGCTGTCTTCGTTGATCTCGTGGAGAATGGTGATGGGAGACACCAAGAAGATACGGTCCAAGCCTTTATCAAACCCCACGTCGATGTCTATTTGGTCGAGCGGTATGTACTCCCCTTCTTCTGTGATCCTGGGCTTAATTAGCTGAGCTCGTACGTGGGCTTCTACTATGTGGCTTTTTCGGAGGTTCCCAACTCTCCACATCAGGCAGAGTTTTCCATCTCTCATTGCCACTACTGCATTATGGCTGAAAAGTAATGTCTGGGCCCGTTTTTTGGGCCTGGCCATCTTTGCCATTATTGCACCAATCATGAAAGAGTCAATTATACACCCCACGATGGACTGAACCACCACCATGAAGACTGCGAGCGGGCACTCCTCCGTCACGCAGCGGAAGCCGTAACCAATAGTCGTTTGGGTCTCGATGGAGAACAGAAAAGCAGCCACAAAGCCATTGACCTGCAAAACGCAAGGCTTGAAGGTATCGTCTCCACCCGGGTTTTCTAGGTCTCCATGAATGAGTGCAATTAGCCAGAAAATCAGCCCAAACAATAACCAGGACACCAGAAATGCCAGGGAAAAGAGCAAGAGCATATACCTCCAGCGGATGTCAACACACGTGGTGAACATATCTGCAATGTACCTCTGTGGCTTGTCATCCATGTTGGTGAACTCCACGTTGCACTGACCGTTCTTCTTTACAAACCTGTTCCTGCATTTCCTCCTGGTGTGGATTTTCCCATTGCCAAAGCCGTTGATACCTGGCATGGTGGTCAACCTCAGCCCGTCTTCCTCGGAGGACACGATGCTGTAAGGGTTGACTCTGCCTGCAGTCATCCCTGAGCCAAGCCCACAGTGAAGATGAAGGGTCTTGCGACTCCCGGCGTCCCCCTGGCCCACCCCTGCCCACCCCCCAAATTCTGTTACGGTGGAAGAGAAGTCCCAAGCTTCCACGTCTTGGCTGCCACGTCACCACGCGGATCCCGTGAGAGGCTCTGCAATGAGAAAACAAAGACACGGCCGTTACCTCTCACGGCAAAGGGACCCGAGAGGGTGTTTGGCCATGGGTCTGATGGGATGGGTGGCTGCATGTTGAGCGAGGACCCCCCCAGTGCCCTAACTGCCCCTCCTATGGCTAGGCTGTTCCCAAAAAAACACACAGGAGGAAGGAAGAAGGTCTTAGAGTTTGTTCTTTCGTACTACAAAGCGAGTGAGCAAACCTTGCTGGGGAGCTGCAGCATTTCTGGGAACCCCAAGGACACCAGCAGATGAAAAACCTTGGATAGCACTGGAGTCTCTCCCCTTTGCTTTTCTCATGAGCTCTGCTGTCAGAGCGGGGTCAGGCTGCTGGAGAGGAAAGCAGAGAGGCCAAGCTGCTCTCCTTAGCCCGGAGATATTAATAAAGGTACGCCTGAAAGCAGCTCCATCAGTTCACATTGCCCGTGCCAGATGGACCGCTGCCCAGCACATCGCAGCAGCGGTTGCCCGACCTCCCCAGCACCAGCTCCTCCGGGGTCGAGGGAAACCACAGGGAGATGTGGATTTAACCTCCATCCCCCAGCCCAGGGATGGGAGAAGACATGGCCAACGTGCAGCCGGTTGGAGAACGCCCAGGGAAGGCACTCGCTTGGGGCAGATGTCCCGAGAAGCAACTTTCCCAACACATCCATTGGGACACGGAGCCATCTACGGTCACAGATGGGTTTTGCTGGCCAAATCTTACGAAAGGACAACTGCCGCTGGGGAACGGGGAGCTGGTTTGATCCCTTCTGGAGGGCTCAGCTGAGGGTCAGGGACCTACACTCAGCTTTGCCTGGGAGCAGCATGGAGACGGGCAAGGTGGTCCAAGTTGGGTGGGCTCCCTGCTGCCTCTGTGATGGCACATGGGGCCGCATCAGGCAGTGGATGGGATTGTGGAGAAGCCACGTGGCACGTCCCAAGCACCCCAAAGAGATGGCACTGCAGGAGCGCTCCCCAAACCACCCCCAGCCGCAGCTCGTCCTATTCTTTAGCGACATGGGATGTGTCACTGGGGATGCAACCACCTTGCTGGCAATGAGACCCGCATGGGACAGCAATGTGGTGGGGGAGCGGGTGCAGAGCCCCCCGCGACACCCCGTTCCCCCAGTGCAGAGGTGCCCGGCTCATGCCTAGAGGCACCAGCGAACCTGCCGGGCTGTACGTGCTGTGTCAGATCCGCTGGCCCGATCGATGCCCGAGCAATCAGCTCGAGCGCCCAGGGACACGCTGGGACAAGCGCACCCTTTCCATGACACGGTGGCCAGGGCCAGCCCAGCGCCAGTGCGGGCAAGCATTGCCAGGCACAGCCTGCCTGGGGCTGCATCAGCCCGGCTAGCAACGGTATGCTGGACTGCCTTTTACAGAAACTCGCCCCAAATCCAGCCTGGGACTTGGGGATCCCCGCAGAATCCCAGCACCGCAAGCAGGAGCACCAACAACCTGCCCAAACCTCCCAGGTGCTGGAAACAGACCCACGCGTGGCACCATCTTATACGCTAAATAACACATTTCCACCTGCTGCCATCCAGGCACAACCATTTTTTATCCCAAAAGCTGATTTTTCAAGCACCATGGTTATTTGTTGGTGTGTCGGCAGACCAAGCGGTTACTCGCACCCGGCTGGGGCAGTCGGCACGAGATCCCTCCCTCCTTACAGCCACGGGGAAGAGTAAAATAAGCACGAACAGTTAATACTTACAACCTCATAGTCACTGGAAGTCAAATGAGACCAAAGTGGCCTTGCAGAGCTGACGGGTCAGGCTGGCTGCAGGCTCCAGCCTGGTGACCCGTCCCCAGTCTCCCTCCCGACCACACTGGCTACATTCATTAAGGCTTTCTCTCCTCTTCTTTTAATAAAATCTGAGCATTTGGAACCAGAAAAGGCTGCTTCTCCATCACCCCTCCGGCTCGCCCCGGGGGAATACGCCGATTGCTTTTGCCACGGGATGAATTTACTGTTGGGTTTTTTTTAATTAATTCTAGATGCGTTTGAGAAGTGAACAAAATGCAATGAGCTCCCAGTGACCTGCGAGAGGATTAGCTGGGGTCTGGATTAACTGTGCTGGGAGGGGAGACATGCCCGGGTGACTGCGGAGGCAGCGGCGCTGCCCTCACCCGGGGGTGATGCTCCGGGGACCCTAGGGCTCCCCAGTCACCACCACCGCTCCCCTCCGCCACCCCCCCCTTTCCCCTC